AATAAAAAAATTGTTTACTTCAAAGTAATAGCAATAAATATAAATAGTGTTGACTGAACTATTGATGAAATAAAATTTTAATATGACTTATATGATGTAAAAGCAGGAATAAAAGATTAACATTTTTATATGATTCTTGTAAAATTAATAGTTTTTTTTTTAAAAACATAAATACTATTGTAATGTTGTAAAAGTTTTTGCTATACTACTACCGAAGAGTAAGAAAATAAAGACTTCTAAAAAGAAAATATTTTTCATCTATAAATTTAGTGGTTTTGCTTCCACCCAATCAACCTACATATGCAATCTATTTCTAAAGTTATAATGTAAGTAATTTATCAACAATCATAAACTTAATAAATTCATAAGTGGACGACTGGAAATGCACAAAAGAATTCGGGCAGCAAGTAATAAAAGGTTTCCATCTATGAATTTCTGCTTTAATAAGCTCTAACAAAGTATCTTTTTCAATGAAAAAGTATGGTACTCTAGCTTCTCTCTTGGAACATTCGAAATTCTAATTCAAAGCAACCTACAGAATAAATTTCCCTATAAATACACTTCCATTATAACTATTTAACTTAGACAAGACTTCTATCTACCACGGTCATCTATCAATTTATAAAAAATCAAGGCATGGCACTAAATACTACACGGCGCCTTCAATTCAAATTTTATTCATCTTTAAAGTTAATATAAATCTACATGTCCCCAACACATATATTTTAAAGAATTTTTAAAGTTCATACAAAGTTAGGCGTTTTCAACTTAAATAATTTTCATATTAGATAAGAATAAGAAAAAAATATCTCTAGTCTACATACTAAAGGAAGAAACTGGTTACGTGTGAAATTGTGCCAAACATAAACAATAACTTGGACAATCTCCTCTCTTATAGTAAAGGCAGATACTATTTTATTATTATATACTAATTAAATAAAATATATTCTATACGAAGAAAAGTAATCCCCTCTCCTCACACACATAAACATGTATGTATGTAAATGTGTATGAACACATCTATTTAATTTTCACACTCTATTAACATTTTTTTTGCGTCCAGTGCAATTTCATTTTCTTCTACAGTGAATGAAAAATGGAGTGAAATAGTGATTTGAAATTGTTGAAGTTGGCTATGAATGATGATAGTTGATTCCTCACCAGCTTCGAAACGACGAAAATTCATGACCTTCAACCTCATGAACCATGATATGTAAACGTAGATATATTTTCATGCATGTACAGAAACGAGAACATACCTTATATGGAGCTAAAGAAAGACGAACCCAGCTAGATTTTCATCTACAAACAAAGGAAAACTACGTACCTTAAATAAATAGTAAGAAAATAAAAAAAGAAATACACAAAAAAGAAAAATTATAAGAAGAACATACCCAAAATAATTGTTGCAACTTCTAGAATTTTCTTCTCCACTATTGATGACGAGAAAATACGAATTAGGCTAAAGGCAAAAGCGAATAATGGTAGAAGGACGACCTTTTTTTT